CAGCCAAAAAAAGAAAAAGAAAAAAAAGAGAGAGCGAGAGAAAAAAAAAGAGATCAGCCGCTGGTTCCTCCTCCTCTCCGGTGAAGGCGCGTCGGCGCTGGATCTGCGAGGGGAGTGTGTATAAAAAGTTTCCAGTTGCTTCTAGGAGTGTTGTAAGTCTTGCGGTGTTGCTCGTGGTGATGTTTTTCTCTAGGGTCTCTTCTTGGGTTTGGAATTCTCAGATCTAGGTGTGGTGCCTCCGTTTTCGGTGGTCCTGGTCTCGGTGGGGGCTTGTCGATGATGTCCGGCTGCAACAGGGTGTTTGCTCGCAATTTTGTGTTTCCTCCTGGTCTTGTGGTCCTTTTAGCTGTGAGGCGGAGACGAGAGGGAAGAGCTTGGTCTTTTCTCCTCTGCGACAGCTCTTCGGGTTAGCGTTCAGCAGTAACGGCTTATCTCGGTGGGTTCTGTCATGCTCGTTGATTCTCTTTGTTGATTGTGTTGTTGGGTTAGTTGGTACATTTGGTTTGCGCAGAGATCTGTTTTGTTTGGCTTGATTTGGGTCTTATTCCTCGGCTTATTGTATGGCTTGGCTATGCTTTCCGGTGTTAGTCCTTTGATGGCTCTTGATCTCTGTTTTGGGTTCCTAGATCTTATGCACTGATTGTCTCCTCTCGATTTTGTGTGGTTTCTGGTGGGCTAGGTTCGTGCTTGGGTTTGTCACTCGGATGGTTCATCGTTGCAGGTGCATCTACTAGCTCTCCTCTGAAACTCTTATAGGTTTTAGTGGTTGGGTTCAAGGCGCAGTAGTGGTGTCGTTCTCCAATCCTTCTCTTGCGAGGTCGTGACCGGTCTTTGTCTGTAGATGGCTTTGATTGGTTCGCTTTGTCCGCGTGTAAGTGTTGGTGTTCCTATTTGACTTTTCCTCAGTCGTTTTCAAGGTTTTCTTTGAGCTTAGTTTCTCCCAAGCTCTTTATCTTTCTGGAGTTGACGTGTTGGTGTTTGTGGATGTGCTCTGTTGCGGATTGGTCTCGCTCTCTGTTCTGTCGGGTTGTTGCTTGTTGTGCTCTTAGTTTTTCTTATCGAGGCTCATGTTTCTTGGCGCAGCTCCGATGCAAAACTGTTTTTATGGGACTGTTGCGGGATATGATGGATTGAGTTTCAGTTTTAGATCTTTGGTTCCTTGTGGTTCTAGCTTTTTGTACCTTGTTACTCTAGTTTGCTTCCCTTGTTTGGGTTTAGTTTTCCGGGGATATCTTTGTCTTCCGCCGGCTTAGTTTTCCGGGAATATTTATGTTTTCCGCCGGTTTAGTATCCTACCTTGTATTTCTCTTATGGTTAATCTAATGGAAATAATTCAGACGGAAAAAAAAAAAAAAATACTAAAATAGTGACGGAAAAAAAGGAATCATGATTTATGTGTGAAATATATAAATTCATATATTTAAACGAATAATATAAAAATGGTTTGTAATCTTAATTATACTCCCTCTATTTTCAAAGAATGTATTTTTGAGTTTTTAGACATATTGAAAAATAATTAATGTTTAACTATAAATTATTAATCAAATAAAATGGTGCATTTATAATCGCTATGTAATTTGTTTTCTAAATATGTGTGAAAGTTTAAAAATTAGATTAATTAGGAACAAAAGGAGTTAATTCAAGAAATTTAATTTTTAATCAATATTTTTTCAAGTTTACAATTTGTTATTACTAATCATTTTACACATTGTAAAGCTAAGAGATTTCTCTTTAAGAAACAAAATTTTTTATAGAAAAATTATTTTAGAAACAAAAGAAGGTTTTTTTTTTTTTCATATCTTAAAGCTAGCAAGAGCGGAGAGTCGTGTTGACTAAGTCTAGACGACAATCGTATCGACAAGCAAGGGTTCATATTCCAGGTAAAGAGAGCGGTTCGGGCCTCATTGCCAACTGTGTTGCTCAACCTACTATTAGGAACTGTGAACCCCGGCGAGTACTATTGACTGCCGTGTTCGACCGTCGTATTGACGGACCACTTATGCTAACCTTAAGAAAAAATACCGGATCGCGACTGTGTTTAGAATAGAAAGAAACAAGGTTTATGAAGAAGTTAGGAAGTCTGGAAAACTTAGAGAGACATTTTAGAGAGAGAAAGCTATTATGAAATTATATGATATTTCAAGTTGTGTCTTCTTACAAGGGGTGCATACATATTTATAGAAGGCTTTAAGGCGCTGACATAAGCGCTTACCTCAGCGATTACATCATCGCTTACATCATTGCTTACATAGTGATTACATCATCGCTTACATCATTATTTATTTTACATGATTTTTAAATACATTACACATATTATATATTTTATTTTATTTTACTTTTCCATACCTTTTAATGATCCATTTCGAACTCCAGCATATGTTCTTCACAGCATCCATAGTGATCATTTGGACATTCATACGAGTCTTCAATCATTCGTGCTTCTTCTCCTGGTTGAACATTTATGCAGAATTTGAACTTTTCTTCGATATCTTCGACATTTATTTCATCATCTGGAGATTGAGCATCCTTAAAGAGATCAGCACAGTAATCTTGAGAAGTCGCCTGGGAAGTTGTTTCTTCTTTTGAACTATTTGATATTCCTCTGTCAAACTTCATCATGTAGTACTGTAAATCTTCATCAAGCTGCATCTGATAATCGACCGGATAGTGAACCCAGTTGGGCTTGAACGGAATAGGAAACGTCTGTCTTGCATTGTTGAGGTGAAACGCATGAGTTTGGAAGTTTTCGTATGCTTCGTTATCTTCAAGGTTGAAATCTGGACGAACTCCCCTTGAAAAATCACCGTGATGAATGAGAGTTGGAAGAGCGAGAATCTTACTTGTTTTGCGGTTGACTTTAACTGGACGATTAAAGAAGTAGATTGAATGTGGATTGAAGAACGGGTTGAGTCCACCTCTTTTCAGCTTCTTGAATGTTAGATTCGTCGCTTTTGCAGATTTTCATAATTTTCCACTCCAAACAGACAATGGTGAAAACCACCTTAGGAACGTTGAGAAACAGTCTCTTTTGTCTTGAACAGTGTTGATGTAATGGTATAGCCACTGGATGTCGAAAGCAATTCCTATAGTGTAGACAGCACAGAGATACCAAAGGAAACAGAGAACTTCTTCTGGCATGTTTGAATTCTCGATCCTGTAGAGATGTGCAAACGGATAGTCAGGATGAATTCCCATTGGAGTAATGTGGTGACAGTTTACTCCATAGTTCGACAAGATTATAGATTGATATGAGAAGATCTTTGTACGTAATAGTTCATGAAGCTTGTTTCTGCTGATGAGTTGATGAACATCTTCGGGTACGTCGGCTTCAAAGTCATAGCAGCTTTTCTTGGATTCGGAGGAACTGGCCATCATGTGTATCTCGTAGGGCGTCTCTTGTTTTACTGGTTTTCGGCTAAGCATGTCAGCTAAAGTGTTCTTGGTGCCCTTTAAATAGACTGACTCGAAATCATACTTAGAGAACCATTCACTCCATCTTAGTAGCTGTTGATGTGGGACCATCTTCTGCTTGAACTGTAACATCTTGGGAAATGAAGACATATCCATTTCTATACGAAACTTGTGTCCTATCAGATGAAATTCGAACTTCTCGATAGCCTTTTTGACCGCTAAAATCTCCTTGAACGTTGAATGATAATGTTGCTCTGAATCTTTGAAACGACCACTCTTGTATCCACAGATTTGTCTTTTTCCATCTATCTCTTCAAACAATATTGCTCCCCAATACTTATCACTAGCGTCTGTCTGTAGAATACGCATGCCTGAGGAAGGAATCTTTAAAGGGGGCAGCTTTTGCACTTCTGCCTTTAGACTTTTGATAGCTTCAGTTTGTCGTGATGCCCACAGAGGAGAGTTCTTCGACAACATTTTCTGTAGAGGTCTCGTCATTCTGGAAAGGTGTGGAATGAAGTCCCCTACATAATTGATTACGCCAAGAAACTGTTGAATTTGTCGTCTTGTAAGATTCTCATCGGGAAAATCTAGAAGTTCTGTAGCTAAATGGGCTTGTGGTATGACACTTCCTTCTTTGATATGCATACCCAGAAAATCGATGTTGGGCTGGGCTATTATCATCTTTCTGGCTGATAGCATGATTCCGTTTTTCTTGACAATATCTTGAAATTGTTGTAGCGCCTGAATATGCTCCTCTTCATTTTTTGAGAATATGAGTATGTCATCAATGTATATGAGAGCTGTATGTAGCAATGGCTCGAATATACGTAACATTGCTTGTTGAAATAGTGATGGCGCCGTCTTGAGACCAAAGGGTAAGACATTCCATTGAAGATGTCTATTTGGAAGGCAGAACGCAGTCTTGTATCTTTCTTCAGGATGAACTCCGAGTTGCCAAAATCCTGATTTTAGATCAAACTTCGAAAATATTTTTGCTCCTTGGAGATGTTGAAGAAGCGCTCTTTTATTTGGTAGAGGAAACTTGACATCTTGCAGATATTGGTTTAATGGCTTGTAGTCAATAACCAATCTGAGTTTTCCTCTTGCTTGTTCTGCACGATTATTGACGTAGAATGCCTTGCATGCCCATGGAGAATTTGTTCTTGAGATGATACATTGATTCATCAATTGATTGCATTCTTCATTTGCCTTCTGCAACAATGTTGGAGGCATTCCTGCATGACTTGCTTTTGTCGGTGTTGTATGTACGTCTTCCTTGAATGGTAGGGATACGAAGAAGTCTGAATTCAGCCATAGCGGATGATTACACTTTTGAAGGAACTCCGTGTGTGAATCAGCGCATGATGTCATCTTTAATTCATCTTCAATTTTATTGAAACCCGCAGCTACTGAGTCTTCGATTGAGAACAGGCGATGCATCGTTGTAAAAGCCTTGTAGAGATTTTTCCATCTCACACCTCTTGGTTCTAGAGAAATGCCGAACTTCTTTTTCAGTACCGAATATGCGTCCCATCCAAGGATTAACTCTTTACCAGGTACAAATGAACCTAGTACTTCTTTAATAACTTGACATCCTGGAAAAAGCTCTATCGTGATTGGTTTTGATATCAGCTTAACCGAGAGGGATCCAGAGTTTACGACTCTGAAATCTTGTTGATGAGGCATCCACATGGCTCGTGAGAGAATCTTTGGGTTCATGATTGTTGTATGAGCTCCCGTGTCGATAAATGCGATTGCATGCACTGGCTTTTCTCTTTTTGAGGGATCAAAGATGGTTACTGGTAGATGCGGTGTCTGAAGTTCTTCTTCTTGAGATGTTTGAAGTACTTCTTCTTGTGGCATCTGGGTAATCTTGAAACAACAATCATCTTTTTCATCTTCGGATGAGGATTCTGAAGATTCATCATAATCTGAATAACTGCATATAGCATCATTCTCGT